GAGGGGAGGGGGAGAGGAAGGAGGGGAGGGGGAGAGGGACAAGGGAGAAACAAAGGGAAAAAGGAAGGAAAATCTCCTATCTAGGAGTTCTGAACTGTTTGGAACATAAGTCTCTACAATTTAAAGTAGTATTTCCTCTGTTTTGAATTAAAGAAACCAAGAGTTTCAGATATTCATTTTTCTCTTAGGTTTAATAATGTAAAGTTATACAAAAAACAAGGGGAAAACAAATCCATCTTGTATTCTCAAGTGTTCTTAAGCTGAAACTGAAATTAGATTTATCATTTAAAACATTTTAATTTTTCCACTTCTTTGTTCACCATCACCTTCTGGCTTTCATCTTTTAAATAATTCCAGCCCACTCACTTTCCTTTCTCTCCCTACTGACCAAAAGACTGTCCTGGAAAATAGGTTGCTACCTTCTCCTTTGATAAGAGCAGTTTCTTTTCAAATGACAACTCTAATGCTATCAACTTAAATTGTTTCTTCACTACCAGAAAACTCAATTTTAAAGACATAAGGCTAACATGAAAGAGAACAGATTCTTTTTCCTTTTTGTATGCTCAATGACAAAAGAGTATACTTAGGCTACTATATGAAAATCACCTGAAGAATACTTATGTTCCTCAGACATAACAGCAGAACCATAAGAACAGCCTTACCAAAATCAGCTATCTTAGCATTCATGTGCGCATCAAGCAGGACATTTTCAGGTTTCAAATCTCTATGGACCACCATATGCCTGTGACAGTAATCCACGCCGGAAAGGATTTGCTGGAACAGACGTCGACTTTCTTTCTCATCCAACTAAGAAAAGTAGAGAGGCATCTTAAAGGCATGTCTTTTAAAACCGATTTTCCTACCTATAGTTTTCCAAAGTATAGACTTGAAATCCCAGAAACCTTCCAATGAGTTTCATCTATACTTCTAAAATGAAGCGAGATATAAAGCACAAAGCAGGAGTGGTAGGATCTTAGCACCCAAACAGCCTTTTCATATGATTACACTTCGTAGTTGGCCACTGTCTACATATCATAACCTATTTCAAATAAGTTTAGTTTCTATGTGACACTAGGCATGTTTTCTCTTAAATATTAGAATTTAATTCTCCATTCTTTTAATATTTACTGGATACCTTCAATGTGCTACAGTTTTCATGATGTACCACAAAATACAAAAAAGACCCTAATCCAAAGGAAAAAAAAAATAAAGCAACAAAACAAATTTTAACATTACGAGAGTGCTTTGCAGGATAATAAAAGCAGAACAGGAAATAATACTGGGATGCAAGATACTATTTTAGACTAATGAGGACATGACATTTAAGCATTGTTAATGAATTAGCAAGTAACATTATGTCTTAAAATAAAAACATGTTTTAACAAAAGAAAAGCCTTAATTCATCTAACTTACTGTACCTTAAAACATCCTGCAACTCTTTTTTTTTTTTTTTTTTTTTAATGTGTTTGGTACAGAGCCTCATATGAAGCTCAGGCTCCTAGCAATCCTCCTGTTGTCAGCCTCCTGAGACAGAGCTGAGATTAGAGGCATGCAACACCACACCCAGTCTCTTGCGGTTGGCTCAGCATGCCCAGGTGTGGGGCCAGCATAGCATGTGGTGCCGGGGATCCAACCCAGATCCTGTGCTTGCCTAAGCAGGTGCTTAGTCTGCTGAGCTATCTCGCCAGCTCTTCCTGCAACTATCTTTTTAAAAATATTCTTTAAAAACTTTCCTATCCATAGTTCGTTTTCTCAACATAAGTGATGATGTATATTTGCTTGCTCCCAAGAAGTGATATTTAATAAGCTACTAACCATCCAAGCAAAGAATTCACAATTTTCTGTTACATCTCAAATTAGTATTCCAAAACCAGAACTCTTTACCTTACATGGCACAGATAATCTGGAAAAACAGAAAAACTATTAATTTTTTTTTTTTTTTTTCCGGAACCGGGGATTGAACTCAGGCCCTTGCACTTGCCAGGGAAGCGCTTATTCTACTGAGGCAACTCCCCAGCCCTCAGTAATTTCTTTTTTTAAAACAAGTAACTACCACTAAACTATTATGAAAGATCCTTCCTCTTCAAAAAAAAGAAAACAAAACAAAAGAAAAAAAAATACTAATGTTTTATCAATCAAATACCTTTATTTTTTCAAGTGGAATTTATGGGGGAAAAAGAATACCTGTTCAAAATAGGAAAGAGTAAAAATTTAGATGAACAAAATATGAGTGGTAAAATAATTAGGTAGGCTACAAAAAAGAAAAATAAGATGAAGATCCCATATGCAGGATGAAAGATATACATAAAAAAAGAGCCTGTTTCTGGTTAAACTCTGCAGACTGTATCCTTAAAATATCACTATATAACACTGTCAACAAAAGAGGAATGAGATAGAATGACAAAAACAAGAGACAGCAGTCAGCAAGAGGAGTGACTGTGCCGAGCAGTGGATGAACTTGCCCAACAGAAAAAGTGAACCCTAAGACTATGGGGGCGACCGGGCAGCGAGAGGTAAACCCATCAGCACACAGAATCCTGGCTAGGCTAGAAACCGGACCTATCAGCAACTCCGTAAGCAGAAGTGGCAGGTAAGCTGCAAACAGGGCCACTGCCGAGGGAAGACGCTTCTCAGCTGGCCCCTCCTGGGGAGCAAGACCCATAGTTCACTAGAGTAAGGCTGGACCAGCTGTGCTCCAAGGACACAGGACAGAGATGAGATATTTTTGAGAAAACGTGTGCATTCATTGAGGCCAGCAAACTAACAGTGAGAATGCAGCCCTCTTCCCTACTCAGGTCTGGTAGCACTGAGAGCTAAACTGATGCCTTCCCGAAAAGTGGACAGTCTCTCCTGGAGCACACAGATACAAGGGAAAACATGCGTTACCAATGGCATATAATGCAGACCTAAGATCCTACCGGGTCCACCTTCGGGAATCCCCACCTATCAGTAAATTCCACCTCCGAGGGTTTGGCATTTAATAATTCACTCGTAAATGTACAAGAAGTGGAAAACCAAGAAATGCAATGTATCTGAGCAAGAACAGTGAACAACAGAGAAGGGGTAAGTAAAACAAAATGTGAATAAAAGCACAGCAGGTACAAATCAGCAAAGAACCGAAGATGACCTGAAAAACCTCATCCTCAAACAGCGCAGGTTACATCTGTGAAGCAAAAACTAGCGCAATGGTTTTTGTGTTGGGGTCTGTTTTTGTTTTACTTTTTGTTTTTTGAGGCTGAGTCCTGCTATATAGTACAGACTGGCCTGAACTTGCTATGTAGCCTAAGATGGCCTCAAGTTCATAATCCTCCTGCTTCAGCCTCTTGGGGTCTAAAATTATAGGAATGTAACTCAACAACCGGCCTCAGAATTCTAAAAGAAAACTCTGGAAAACAAGACCTCTGATTCAGAAAAATGGCAGCGGGAATTTTAGTACTCAAAAGATAAAATTCCCACAATGTGAAACAATAACCAAGAAATGAAAAACAGAAGAAAAAAGCTATCAATTCAGTCTGTGCCTTTTTCTAAGCAGACCTTTTTTTTGAGGGGAGCTGGACACCAGGGAGGGGATTAAGAAAAATACCTGAAGCAGAAATTAACCATGTTAAGAAACAGTAAAGGGGGCCGGGGAGATAGCTCAATCCCTGGTTCTGCCCAAGAAAAAAAAAACAGTAAAGGGCATAAGCGCCTGCCTGGCAAGCACAAGATCCTGAGTTCAATCCCTGGCACCAAAGAAGAAAGAAACAGTAAAATAAAAATTAAAATTGGGTAATGAGTTTGATATTGAAGAAGTAGATATACTACAAAGAATGAATGAATAACATCAGTAACTTTTGATTACAAATATGAAAAACTTTTCTCTGTATAGACATGGCTTTTTCAAATGGGGCTTTTATATCTCAGGAAATCTGAATATGAGAAAAGGGGTAGGGGACAGCATTCAGCTTTTTTATCTATGATATAAAGTACTACTGAAAATGTTTTCTCAGGTTCCGTCCAATATTAATTCTTAATATTCAATTCCTACCTCCTTCATGAAGCCTGTCCTTACTACTTCAAGTACATCAGATATTTTACATCCAAAAAATGAATGCAACCTAAATGTGGCTAGAGGTGACTACTAAGGCCTAGATATTTCCAGCTGAATAGTATATTTTATAAGGACTAATTATAAGCTGGAAGTGGTGGTACACATCTGTAATCCCAGCACTTGGGAAGTTGAGGCAGGAGAACTGTTGTGAGTTCGAGACCAGCCTGAGCTACAAAGTGAACTCAAGGCCAGCCTGAACTGCACAGCAAAACCCTGTCTCAAAAAGACAAAAGGAA